CGGGAGGCTGAGGCAGAAGGATCACTTGAGCCCAGGAGTTTGAGGTTGCTGTGAGCTAGGCTAACGCCACGGCACTCACTCTAGCCCGGGGAAAAGAGTGAGACTCTGTCTCAAAAAAAAAAAAAAAATCTACAGAGTACTAGCAAGTTGCTTGGGAAGAAGAAGTATTCTGAGGTTCATGGGTAACAAACATTTTTGCACATTAAAAAAAAATTAATAACATTAGAGGTTAAGGCATGGCTCAAAAAACTGACAGGAAGCTGAAATCACAGATATAAATCCACCTACAATTTTGAGAGTTAAAAAAATAATTGTTCAGTTGGCCCCATGTGCTTGTAGTCCCAGTTACTCAGGAGGATCACTTCAGCCCAGGAATTCAAGGTTAGCCTAGGCAACAACCCAAGACCATGTCTCTACAAATATTTTTGAAAAGATTATTTGTTAAAAAAATTTAAAAATTAGGTAAGTATAAATAAAATACACATTTATACATAAAGTCTTCATGTCATCTGAAATCTTAAAAGTTACTTATGTTAAATAAGAGATACTCATTCAATGTCTGGGTCATAACTGAAAAAATAAAAACTATAAACAAATGGCTTAGTAATATTCATTCCATGATTCTTAAATTTCATAAAAAGACTATATACATACTTAGGCCTGTTATATACTTAGGCCTGTTAATCAAAATATAATTTATAGAAAATATTATAGGACTAAGAATGAGGATTTGGGAAAATGACAAAAGGTCTATACAAGCCAAAGAAGATTTACTACAGAGAGCTCTTATGAAGGAAGCTTTATAGGTGACTGGATTGGCTGAGTTTAGAAAGAAATAGTTTATAGGTTTTGCTAAAAATTAAACATTGCTGTGAGGACTGCACCAAAACAGGACCAGAGTCCTTTGAAAGAAATAAAAATTCCTTTGAAAGGAATAAAAATCAAAATTCCTTTGAAAGGAATAAAAATCAAGTCATTCATGACAACATGGATGTAAATAAGCTACATAAAATAAGCCAGACATGAAAGAAGTATATATGATCCCACCTACATCAGGAGACTAACAGACAAAGTTCCAGAAACCTAGAATCAAAGGCTGGATACAAGGAACTGAGAAAACAGGGAATCAGGGATGTGTTGGTCAAAGATACAAAGTTTCTTTATGCAACATAAATAAATCCTAGATATCCACTCTGCAGCATATTGTATGCAGTTAACAATACTGTATTATATACATAAAATTTTTTAATAGGGTAGATCTTAAGCGAAATGGTCTTTTCACAAAAAGAAGGATAAAGAAGGAAATTACTAGAAGTGATGGTTATACACACGAAGCACAGAGAATAGAACAAAACCAGTAACACTAATTTGGTGTTTGAAAAGATTAATAAAACTTACGAACCCATAGCCAGATCAACTAAGAAAAAATGAAATAAGAATCAAACACTAAAATTATAAATGATAAAGGTGACACTGCATTTGATGCTACACAAACAGAATTATGAAAGAATATGAACTATATACTCAAAATTGACAAAAGCAGACTAAACTGATAAATTACTTGAAACAAGCTACCACACTGAATCATGAAAAACTAAAAATTTAAACAGAACTTGAGCTTGAATCCATAATCCAGAACGTCCCCAAAAAAGAAAAATTCCAGGTTCAGATCCTCACTGCAGAATTCTACAGTGCTCCTCAAGAGAAATTAAAATCAACGCTCCTCAAATTATTGCAAAGAATTGAAGTGGGAACACTTCCAAACTCATTCTTTCAGGGGAGATTACCCTGATACCAAAGATTGATATATTTCATAATAAAAATACCCAACCAACTAGGAATACATGGAAACAACTTCAATCTAATAAAGTTCATGTATGAAAAGTTCACAACTAACATCATACTCACTGTAAACTGGAGAAAAAGCCATGTGGATTTTGTAGCAGAGCAGTGTGCTATTTGCCTGCCAGAACATGAAAAATTGAAAGGGTATCTCACCATCTCAGAGATCTGCTAAGACTTCTGGGTCAATGTGCAAAGTGCTACATGGCCTCTTGCCTCTGCCACTAAGAAAATATGTGAGGAGAGAAATGAACTAAAGAAAGATGTTCAATTTTGAAAAAGAATTTTAAAAAAATATAAAGGTCAGGATTTCATGAATTTGATATAAGAGTTTCTCATTCCCAATTGTTACCACAAAAACCTTTACAAAGTGAGAAATGAACTGGCCCCAAAGATCAAGCCCAGTGTTTTTATAATCAGAAAATAACAAGAGATTTTCAGCATTCTTAGGGAAGTAGGGTTTGCCTCATAGATAGCCCCAGTTCAACAATAAGGCTTCTAAGACTGTTGTCCCATAGTAGCCTTGGAGGGAAGGGCAGGCCACAAAACAAATGAGCTGTCTGAATAAGTGTGTAGAGTGGACTTCATCTAATGGATTTTGGTACACCAAAAGCCTATGGTTTTTAAAGATGTGATTACACTGAATCACCTCCTGTACTAAAAGGCTAAAGTCAAAAAAATATGAAAGGCGGCCACTGAATCCATAACTTACTATGAGAAAAAAACAGGTGGAGAACGTTGGTCAACTGGAAGCTGGTTATTTTTTCAACGAAAAAGAACATCCACTCAGAGGTGAGAGCTCAAAGGGCAGAATGAAGTGGCATGAAGTAAGGCTCCAGGGTCCAGGACTGGGCAGTAATCAAAGAATGGAAGCAGGTGCCCGGTGGGAATAATCAAGCGCTCAGACCCGTGCCTGCAGGGTGCCTCCTACCTCCCACCTTCCCTGTCTAGCACAGTGCCTGGCAAGTTCATGACAGTCTCCTCACTGCGTGATGGGTGTGTGTGGAGGGGCAGATGACAGCTCACCAGGACTTGATTTGGTTGGACTTTCAGTGGCACAGCAGGGAAAGATTTCTGGGCTGATTAAGAAGGGCAAAGTAAAATTTGTGTGTAAAACAAACAGAAAAAATGGGTAGCCAGAAGGCAAACTGTGGTTTATTAAAGACTAATGCAAATCTTACCACTGTCTTACTGTGAGTTGGAGTCTAACTGCCCTCCCCTGAGTCAGGGCTGGTCTTAGTGATGCGCTTGACTAAGACCATGTGGTGGAAAGGATGTTTTGGGCCTTCTGAGGGCAGATCATAAGAAGCCTTGCAGGTTCTGCCTGGGCCTCTTGGAAAGATGCTCTGAGAGAAGCTGCACAAACCATGTAAACAAGGAGTGTTTAGGTTTTTATGATTAGGTTCAAAACACAGAAGTAACAAATATTTTACATTATATGCTAGTTCTCAAACTGTAATTGTGAATATTAAATATTCAGTTAACTATATTTTCACTTTTTGTTCTTAACTGACTACAGCATGAACTACAGCTGTAGTCCATAAACATAACTATGACTGATGTACACATGCACTTTTCCTTGTACATCAAGTGGTTCGTTAAAAGAGAAGAATTAATGCAGTCTTTAAAAAAGTTTAAAAACATGAGAAGTCTTTTTGAACTACAAACATAAAATTGAACATTAAACAAAAACTACAGATAAAATCACTGATGTCAATTTAAAATAAGTAAAAGGTACTAACTATAAAAACTTTCTTTTACTTTGTGTATATCTTCTGGACCTTGTTCAAACCTGTCCCACTAACTCCTGAATGCTTTCTCTCTATGGGCACCAAAGGATGTCACCACATGTGTTGGACAGACCCACAGTTCTCAGGGGATTGAACCTCATCAATAAGCACATATATCCTTCAGGTTTTGTCAGCAATGACATTTCCAATGTGGCAAAGTTATTCTGTTTGTGAACACTAATAGCTCCTCCACTGGAACTGGCACTGTATGCTGATGTTACAATAAATAAAAAGAATAAACGAAGAAAAGTAGCAGTAGTGAACAACAGATGAGAGTAGACCTGAGAGAGATGGAGACCACACAAAAATTCCACTTTGGTGTTTGGACACTGGCTGGATGGCAATGATACCACATGTAAGGGAAGAGAGGAAGATGTGCTTTCCCTTTTGGATTTGTTGAGCTGGAGGGGCCTTTTGGACAGCTACAAAGAAGCGTTCAACAGGGAGTTGCTCCTATGGTCAAAAGTTGGGTTAAGAGGCACAAGCCAGAGAGAAAGAAAAGTGTAAACCACAGAGGGTCAAATGCATCAAGGAGAAGTGCAGAGTAAGAATGGGGTCCAGGATGAAGAAGAGAAAGCAAACTTCAGGGAATCAGAGTGAAAGCATCAGAGAGGCCCTGACAGAAACGAAGAGAGAAAAATTTGCAGATGATCACGAACAGCAGTATCTGTTATTGAATCTCCTATTACAGGAAACTCAAGTAAAAGATTAAAGTGTAGTCATTAGATTTAACTATAATTTATGTTATTGGTTGGTATTCAAAGAACTAAACTAAGCCTACCCTAACTGGATTAAAATGCAAATGATCACTGAGAATATTTGTCAGAAAACAGAATTTTCAACACACTCCTGCAAAACCATGTGTATACACAATCTGGGAGAATCGTACAGAGGATTACTCCAGGACCTGTGCTCAACTCAATCCTCTAGCTATTCCAGGTTTTCCCCATGAATAAAATATGAATACAACCTTCTTAAAGCTGTCTGGGACGACACTATTCTAGCTACTCCAGAAAAACCTTATTACGTGAATTTTGCATGAGTACTAGGTAACTTTCCATTACTGAATGCTGACACTGTTCATTTCCAGATTGGTCATAAAAAACTTTTCACTACATCATCTCTGTGACAATCATGCCTGACTTTTTCTTATGGCAACAAAAATACCAAGGACAAATCTAGAGTTAACATAGCTCATGCTAAGGTCTTATAACCTGCCTATATTAACACACCAATTTTAAATTTCATACATTTCTGTGAAGCTAAGTTTTACTAATTTCTAACTCTTCCACTGTAGTTCATGGACCCCATGAAGCTCATAAAATACAATATAAAACAAAGTGAAGAATAAAGAAACAAACAACTCACCAGAGATTTATCCATGTTTGGCTGCTTTAGGAAACACACAGAAGATTCTGGAAGCATCCCTGAGAGAGAAGGCAAATGGAGTGAAGCCATGAGAGAACTGGCATGGCTTGGTCCTAGATTCTCCTGATAAAAATGCTCTACACATTAGCTGGAAGAGACCAACAACATAAAAGCCTCCATGTAGGTGAATAGATTCTTACAGAAGAAAGGACAACAAAGGTCCCATTGAAGATGTCCCAACAAGCACATTTATTAAGATTAGACATACATTTTATTTTTGAGTTAATGAAAATATTAGCAATTGATTTAGCAACAATTAATGTTCTGGCAAGAAATAATTCAATAATTTATACCAAAGAATTAAACATTATGTCTTCACTAGAATTAAGGTTACAGAAATACACTTGGGCCATATGAAGTATTTTCCTATTACTAGGGAGATACCAGACAGGACTTCTTAAGTTATCACTATCATACCTCTTGCTTTTATATACATACATTTCAAAGAAAGTATGCATGTCACAACTCATGAGTATATTGAAAAATAATATATAATGTGCTTTTCCTGTTGTACACTGTTCCAGTAATGGCTCCAAATGATGGAATTCCAAGTATCCACACCCTCACTGTAGTCCCCTCTGACAATAACTTGGTCTTTGCCATGTGACTTGCTTGTGCCAACAGGACATCAGTGAAGGTGATGCAAAAATAGGTTGAAAAGTACTTGCCCACTGATGTTTGTCTTCTTGGACACAGTCGTATTGTGAAGAAGCCTGGGGCTAATACCTTGAAAACAAAGGACCTATGCACGTTTCAGGAGGAACCCCAAAACATCTAAGTGCAGCAATCCTAAACCGACCAGCCTCAGTCAAAACACCAGGTGACTAAAGCCTCACCTGTGATCCCAAACACCACCCACATAGGAATTTCCCAACTGAGGTCGGCCCAAATGCTGATTCATAAAAATACCATCAATAAACGGGTGCTTTCTGTGAACCTATAAATCTTTGTTGATTCATTAGAGAGGACGGAAAATCGATACATCTCAGCCCTGGAATTCAATATTTTCAAAACACATGGCAATGGGAGAAACAGTCTTCAATTACGTGCCAATAATTAAAAGTTCAAAACCATAGGCAGAAATTTTGAGAAGCACAATAATTGCCAAGTGTACAGGTTTCAGCATGGTTAAAGTCATGTGAATGAAACAATTATCTTAAGGTTAAATAACTATGTTAAAGTTTTTTTACAACATAACAAGATTCCGTTGTCACTTATATGCAGACATTTTTCTGTGTTTTATTTATATTTTTATTGGTTTGCACAAGTGTGCTTCAGTCTAATTTTCCCATTTTAAACAACGTTAAATAAGCTCTTCATATTTTCCGGCAAAATTTATGAGTTTTAGGAAAAGATTACTGACATTAAGTGGAAAACACTACTGTGATTAACTCGCTGAGGTCACATAATTTCCAGAAAACGTTGGGGATAAAAAGGGATATGTATGTTTACTATGAGATGAGTCAAATCAATGGTGGTTCTATTATAAACAGGTTTCACTGTCACAAAAATGTGAGTCATAAACAAACACGTGTTTGGAGTTAATTGCGGCAAAATGAGTGACTCTAGCCAAGATGTCAGGATGTTTGATACCTACATATGATCTGAGTCTGGGGATGTCTCTTATCTCTTCGTATCTAAACAGTTCAACTTTTTTGTAAGCCAGAAGTAGCTTGGCAAGCCCTTCATGAACTATCAGAAAGACCAAGACAGAAGGAGCATCAGAGTATCCCTAGACGTCAAACTGGGTAGCGGGTTTGAGACAGCCCACATTCTGGAAACATTCCATGAGGGGAGATTAAAGGAATCGCAGTGTCCTCAGAGAGTCACATGGACAGATTTTCTCCTACATGACAGGGTGTCCACCACCGCAGACCAGTCACCGCCGAGAAGCGACACTTCCTAGGCCCTCGCCTTTCCTTCTCAGCCAAACTCACCTCTCCCTTCTGAACCTTGGTCCAGTCCTCCCAACGGCACTGGTCGTTCACAGCTTCCTGAGGCAGCATCTCCCAAACTAGTTCAGTAGGATCGTTAATTACTTCGGCCATAAAGTTAAATTTTTCCTTTTCGGGGACTCGTTTGCGTCTTCTCTGAGGCGTTAGAGAGCGCGTTCCGGTCGGAGAGCTTTTGCGCCCTGGGAGCCCACCCCGCCTTCGGGCAGCGCCGTCTCCGACAAAGCGACCGTGGACCGCACAGCCCGAGCCGCCCCTCCCCAGCCCCGGCCCAGGTCCGCGGCTCGCACCTGCACGCCAGGCCCCGCCCGCCTCAGATCCACCCGCGTTTCTGCTCCCGTCAAGTGGGGACACCCGTCCCGCCCCGCCGGGTTCCCGGACGCCCAAGGGCTCCTCTTTCACCCTCGCACCAACCTGCAGGGACGCAGAATCCAATCGCTAGCCTGCGGAGGAACGCTGAAACTGCGGAACTTCAGAGAAGAAATGGCGGCAGCGGGCGGAGCTGACCATGCGCAGAAGGAACGCGGCAAGTTCTTCCCGTGGTACTGTGCTGGTGACGTCATCAGAGCCTTACACTGCATTTCCCAGGAGGCCCTGCGCTTTTCCGTTAGGAATCAATGGAGGAAGTTTTGTTTACTTCCTGGGAGTCTGTTTGGCTGTTCTTGGACCAAGACTTGAGGGATCCGGACTGGTCGCTATACTTGGGACAGCTACGTGGAATTTGGCTCCTTTGATAAATCCTAGATTGACAACCTGAGACAGTGTGTACTACAGGAAATTAGAATGTGGGCAAAACAGTCTAGCATATTGATAATTAGGTTTAATTTGTTTTGGTCGTTTAAAAGTATTGCGTTTTTAGGAGCCACGACTGTATGATACAGATACATTCTAAAGCAATCTACAGATTCAATGAAATCCCTTCCCCCGCAAACACCAATGACATTCTTCACAGAAATAGAAAAAAATGATCCTAAAATTTATATGGAACCACAGAAGACGCAAAAGAGCCAAACCCATCCAGGGCAAAAAGAACAATACTGGTGGACTCACATTACTTGACTTCAGATTATACTACAGAGCTGTGATAAAAAAAACAGTATGGTACTGGCATAAAAACAGACACATACACCAGTGGAACAAAACAGATAATCCAGAAATGAACCCACACATCTATAATGAACTTATCTCTGACAAAATTGCCAAGAACAAACTTGGGGAAAGGACAATCTCTTCAATACATGGTATTGGGAAAACTGGATATCCATATGCAGAAGAATGAAAATAGACCCTTATCTCTCACCATTAGAGAAATCAAATGAAATTAGACTGAAGACTTAAATAAGACCTGCAAATATGAAAGTACAAAAGTAAAGCATTGGGAAAATGATTCAGGACATTGGTGTGGGCAAGGACTTCTTGAGTAACACCCTCAAAGAAAATTGGACAAATGGGATCACTTTAAGTTAAAAAGCTTTGGCACACCAAAGGAAACAATCAACAAAGTAAAGAGAGAACTCATCTGTTCCTGGTGTTGCTTGACTAGATTTGGTTTGACTTGAGGGTCTAATTTTACTTTCTCCTAATGTCACTTCCTTATACTATGACATGTCTCTTTTACTCCTAACTCATTGTGTTAGCCTTCTCAGGCTGCCATAACAAAATGCCACAGTCTAAGTGATGTAAACAACAGACGTTTGTTTTTTCAGAGTTCTGGAAGCTGATGGTGCAAGTCAAGGTGCCAACTGGTTTGTTTCTGATAAAACATTTCAAGGTTGCAGACATTCACCTGGCTGTGTTCTCATGTGGCCCATCCACTGTGCTCCTGGAGGAGAAAGAGGGACGGGCATGGTGTCTGTTCCTCAGTAGCTTCTTAAAGACCCTGTGTCCAAATACGGTCTCATGAGCCATTAGAGTTTCCCAATGCAAAATTTGGGATGAAACATTTAGTCCATACAACTTACAGATTTGAAATACCATCTTCATCATGTTCTAAATTGTTATTTGAAGTAAATTTTATCTCCCAACATTTCTTTCCCACATTACTCTAATAACAGCGTAGGTGTGTGACCACAGGGACATCACATGACCAAGATGTGCCTGTCATCATAATCCGTGTCCAGCCCTGCATGGTGAATGTTTTGCCCATACTGTGACCTCTGGAATAGAGGCAATCACAGATCTGTTTACATGTGGGCCTAGATCTGCCTGCACTGTCATCGGTCTGCATTTATAGGGGGGAGAGATGCTGTGAGCAGAGTTTCCTGGTGATCTAAAGGTCCAGGCAGTCTGGACACACCTGAGGCTCACACCATGTACCCTTTCCTGTGGTTGATATTAAACAATTTTTCTGTTTTATCTCTGTTTTCCTTACACTCTGTTGAGGTGGGTTACTCCTATTTGCATTTTGGATCCTGACTTGATTGAAATTACCTGGGCTGTGTTTGCCCTCTATGTGATTTCACTGAACTATTTGTAAATACTTTTGTAAAAATATGATAACATCTACATTCACAGTAGCTTTACCCACCTTTAATGTATTGTAAAGCTTTTTAAAATTGTTGACACTCACATTGATATTTAGCTTTATTTAAAATCCAATGTGTGAGTTTATAACTCAGTTCTCTATTCTGTTCCATTGGTCTTCATGTCTATTTTGTCCTGGTACCCTACTGATTTGGTTACTGTACCTTTGTAGTATTTGTTTTATTGAGTTATTGACTGAGACAGAGTCTCACTGGGGCTAGAGTGCCATGGCATCAGCCTAACTCACAGCAACCTCAAACTCCTGGGCTCAAGCGATCCTCCTGCCTCAGCCTCGTGAGTAGCTGGGACTACAGGTGCTCACCACCATGCCTGGCTAATTTTTTCTATTTTTAGTTGCCTGGCTAGATTTTTCTATTTTTAGTAGAGACAGGGTCTCGCTCTTGCTCAGGCTGGTCTCAAACTCCTGATCTCAAGCAATCCTCCGGCCTCAGCCTCTCAGAGTGCTAGGATTACAGGTGTGAGCCACCGCGCCAGGCCTTGTAGTATTTTTTGAAGTCAAGTTGTGTGATACCTGCAGCTTTGTCCTTTTTGCTAAGGATTGCTTTTGCTATTCTGGGTCTTTTGTGGTTCTATACAAATTTTAGAATTGTTTTTCCTATTTCTGTAATGAATGTCCTAGGTATTTTAAAAGTGATTGTATTGAATTTGTAAATTTCTTGGAGAAATATTGTCATTTTAACACTATTAATTCTTTCAATTCATGAACATGGATGATCTTTCAATTTTTTGGTGTCCTCTTCAATTCTTTTCATTGTTAGGTTTTATTTGTTCAAGAATTTATTTATTTCCTCTCGGTTTCTCAGTTTGTTAGCATATACTTGTTTATAATAGTCTATGATAATCTTTTGTATTTCTGTAGTAGTTGTTGTAATGTCTTTCTCATTTTTTTATTTTTTTTGAGACGGAGTCTCGCTCTATTACCCAGGCTACAGTGCCGTGGCATCAGCCTAGCTCACAGCAACCTCAAACTCCTGGGATCAAGCAATCCTTTTGCCTCAGCCTCCTGAGTAGCTGGGACTACAGACATGCGCCACCATGCCCGGCTAATTTTTTCTACGTATTTTTAGTTGTCTGGCTAATTTTTCTATTTTTAGTAGAGACGGGGGGGTCTCACTCTTGCTCAGGCTGGTCTTGAACTCCTGACCTCGAGCGATCCTCCCACCTCAGCCTCCCAGAGTGCTAGGATTACAGGCATGAGCCACTGCGCCAGGCCTTTTTCTTGTTTCTTATTTTGTTTGTGTTCTCTCTCACTTTCTTTCTCTCAAGTTTTGATTAGTGTAGCTACCAGTGTATTGATTTTTTTTTTAAAAATCTATTCAAGGAACCAACTTTTCATTTTATCCTTTATATTGTTCATTTTTATTTTCTATTTTGTTTAGGTGTGCTCTGATCTTCATTATAATTTTTTTCGTCTACGAATTTTGTGGGTTTTATTTTCTTGCTATTGTATTAATACTTTTTTCATATGCACCATTAGGTTTTTTATTTGAAATCTTTCTAATTTTGTGACGTAGGCTTTTACTGCTATAAACTTTTCTGTCCTTGGGCCCCCAGCAATGTACATCAACACTGCTATTAATGAATTCACGTGGGTTGATTCTTTTGAATCCAGGTGGCTTGTTTGTCTGTCCTCAGTGGCAGCAGCACGCTGGGAAATTGGTTGGGGAGTTGCTGGTTCTCAAGGCCCTAGGCAGTGTGCATTACATGTGTTATGGCAATAGGGGTGTTGGGCCAACCCCCAGGCTCCCACGTGTCATGCACTAGCGTTAGTGGCAGTGGCTACAAGCTGAGTGAACTAGTTCCCAGGTCCCCAGGTGTCGTGTGTGTGTGTGTGTTTGTGTATGTATGTGCTGCCAGTGGTGCTGGTGACAAGCCGAGTGGGCTCCTCCCAAGGCCCCAGGAGGACTGCACAGATGGCAGTGGTGGTGGAGGAGCTGGGGCAATTCCCAGGTCCCTGAACATCGCAGTCAGGCTCTGGGAGAGGCAATGGTTGGTGAGGCAGGCCTGTTTTCAGGCCCCCTGATGGTCTGTGTGTGTGCAGGATGTCATGGGTGGGGCAGGGAAATTCCCAGGCCTCAGGATGTCATGGCTGGGTGCCAGCAGCAGGTATTGTGGGTCTGTTAATAGGCCCCCTGACTGTGTGTGCATGTCCCCCAGAGACCTGTGAATGACAGCAATCCCCACATCCCTAGCAGCATGCTTGAGCACTGGGGGACAATGCTGGGTGTTGCAGGCCTTTCTTCAGATCCTTTGATGGTGGGCATGTGCACAGGCTCTGGTGGGTGGTTGGGGTGATCACCAGCCTCCCAGATCTTGTGCTTGGGTAATGAGTGCAGAGTGGCAGGGACTTTCATCAGGCCTCCTAATGGTGTGTGATCACCTGGGGTGACAGATTGGATGTGACGATCAACATGTACCTGGTCTACATGCTTGGGCAGGCAAGAGGCACATCACTGGACAATACACACCTGTGTTCAACCTCCTGGACTGTGTACACAGGTGCAGACTGTGTTGGGAGGTGTGGGGCAGTCCCCAGGCCTGTGGCCAGTGTGCTGGGGGCAGCTTTGGTCTAATGCATTTTGGCTCATAGGAAGCCCATACTTTTTGAAGAATTGATCACACTTGGTAATTTCTGTGAAAATGCCAAAATAAAAAATAAAAACAAGGCCACTGGATACCCAAATTACTATTAGAAAGAACTGGGCAGAGAAAGTTGGTGAATTGGAAAAGTAGGCATTTAAGGAAAAAGAACATTGACAGCCATGCTGACAGTCTGGGGATGCATGAACAACCGCAAAGCACGCTCTGAGAAGCAGGACTGGGCCCTCATCAATGAACAGAGGCAGGTGCCCCGTGGGAATAGCTACCTGCTCAGACCAGTGCCAGCAGGGTGCGTGCCTTCCACCCCATTCTAGACA